TCCTGTTGAATTGATCCTTTAATCATTACATAGTGCCCTTCTCCATCTCTTTTAACAGTTATTATTTCATTAACAAGACCTTCTTTTTTATTTTTATTAAAAAAATTTTTTTGACAGGCAGAGTGGACAGTGAGAGAGAGAGACAGAGAGAAAGGTCTTCCTTTACAATTGGTTCACCCTCCAATGGTCGCTGCAGCTGGCGCACCATGCTGATCTGAAGCCAGGGGCCAGATGCTTCTCCTGGTCTCCCATGTGGGTGCAGGGCCCAAGCACTTGGGCCATCATCCACTGCACTCCCGGGCCATAGAAGATAGCTGGCCTGAAAGAAGGGCAACCGGGACAGAATCAGGCACCCGACTGGGACTAGAACCCAGTGTGCCGGTGCCACATAATTAATCTATTAATTTTCTGAATTCCTTTTCTGGCATATCCTTGATCTCTTCTTCATCAGCCTCCATTATTGAAGATTTTTATTGCTCCTTTGGGGAGTTCATAGAGTCTTCCGTATTCTTATTCCATATTTTTCCTTTGTTCTTCAGCATTTCTGGTTGATTTTATTTTAAAATTTATTTCCCTCTGCTATTGGCTGCCATGTGTTTATGCAAGTGAAATCATGCAGACCTGTCTCCTGGAGTCCTGTTTATTTCTAGATCCTGGTGGAGATAGGTACCAGGGCTTTGATGCACTAAGCCCTGCCTACTAGGGGCTGGGCTCTCTTCTCACTGATGTGTACAGTGATCTTGGATTTTTGAGATTTAGGACTAATCCTAGTTGTACAGCTTGCATAATGTGGAAGAAATCACTCTGAAATGTTGTGATCCTTTGGGGCATGTTGTGAGGTGCACCTCACAATTAATGGGTGTGTGTGAGGGATGCAAATGCAGAAGCCCTCTGCTTATGCTCAAAAATGTTAATTATCAATATGGCTTCTCTCCACTGGTTGTAAGTCCAGTTGTGGGTAGAGGGGAGACACAGACAGACCATGGTGTGCCAATTTCTCTGCCTGTTCTTCTACAATTTCTCCTTCTTCCTGCTTGGAGCTTCAAACATAGTTAACCAAGATTTCCTGCCTGCCTCTATCCACAGCTCTGTGGACTCACAACCTCTCCCCATGGTTCGCTGGTGGTGGGGGCAGCACCTCTTTGCTTATTCCCTCTGCAGCTCCTTTGCTGCACATCCACCACCTCCCCCTCCTCTTTGCTCCCCCAGTGTAGACCTGAGCAGTCTCTGGTGGAGTCCTGGGCCACTCTATGAATTTCTGGCTATTCTGCCACTGGCTTGTATCCTCTCTGCTCACTCACTATCCATTTTTTCCTATGCAACTTGGAACGTCCTGCTGCTATACCATCATCTTCCCAACACCCTGCTTCTTTTTCTAACCCTGTCACTCTGCTTTTCAAATAAATACATGTATGTTTAAAAAGTACAAGATACTATTCAAAATAGCAAAAAATACATAGGATGAAAATTAAGAAAAATGTGACTAATTTTATAATGAACTCTAACAAATAAAATTAAAAGAACAGAAAAAAACTTTTAAAATCAGTAAAGATTTGAATGGACATTTTGCAAAAAAATAAGTTTTCGATAACTATGTAAAATATCCTCAAAAACATTATTTGAAAATAGTGAATAAAACCTCCCTTCAAAATACACACTTCACATGCTGTACCATGGTTCTCTCTCTCCCTCTCTCTCTCTCTTGCTCCCTTTGCCTCTCCTCTCTGTGTGTAACTCTGACTTTCAAATAAATAAATAAATCTTTAAAAAATATGTCAATATATGTATTTATTCATTTGGGAGACAGAGAAATCCCAAACACTGGCTCACCACCCGATTGCCTGCCACAGCCAGGAACTTGACCAGGCTAATTCCAGGAGCTTGGAACTAAATCCACATCTCCCATGTAGTTGGCAGGGACGTAAGTACCTTTACCATCACCTGTTCTCTCCCAGGATGCACATTAACAGGAACTTGAACTCAGAAGCAGAATTTGGACTCAACCCCAGGCACTCTGACATTGGATGCAAGTGTCCCAAGTAGCATCGTAATTGCTTCATCAAATCCCTACCATGTTAAAAGATGTATTTATTTACTTTATTTAATAGAGGGAGAGGAAAGAGAGGTGGAAAAGGCAAAAACATGCCATGGATGAATTTTAGAATGATTATGTATGAAAAGAGAGCAGCAGTCTGCAAGGAGTATGAGTGCACATGAATCATACGTCTAAATTTTCCAACCAATAAAAATTGAAGTAAATGGTGGAGTCCAGCTCCATCAAGTCCAGGGGTTCCTGAAAATGTGGGAGGTGTTGGCACAGGAAGAAATGAGAGACACACTCACAGCAAGGCTGATGGCATGGCTCTGTCTCTGGAGTACCAGGTTGTTTCTTCATATAAGTCCCATAATGATTCTTTCTTCTTACTATACCAAGTTTGTTGTTCACTTTTATCTAGTCACAATCTCTTTGGTTTTCAAGGACATACTCAGAGCATGGGTTACAATCACAGGTGTGAGACGACAATTTTCAAAGGCATGTTCAGAGCATGGATTACTATCACAGACAGGTGCGAGATAACAGGCTGCCCACACAAACCAAGGCCTGGAGTGCTATCTAGCTATGCAGACATTGGCTACACAAGCTAGAATATTACCTTCCTAATCAAATCTTTACTAGAAGCCCCAATGTTCAGAGCAGGCCCTTTTTTCAATATATCCCCTCTTTTGCAGTTCTTTCGGTAACTCTTTAATTTCTTTCTTGTACTTATCTAAAGGTTCCCTTAGATCTATTCCACAGTTTTGGCATCCTAACCATTGTTGTATTTGTTGCATATATTAACTTAAAGTTTTAATAACATTTTTTTCTAGTGGGAAGAATATACCAAGGAGCCTGTTACCTTGTAATTCTTTTCCACAAACAGATCAACCTTGCATAAAGCATTAACCCCTCCTCCTACACTAACATTCTGCTTGATTAAAATTCTACAAAGCAATGGACATTTTGGGGATCATGAGACTAAGAGTTCTTCCCTAAAATTAGAAATATAACAATCATTAATGGGACCACCAGGAAGGTCTGGCTTTCTTATGCATAGTGTAGATCCCAACAAACCTAAAACCACCAAGAGGACCACAGCTGTTGTTCTCATGCCTTGCTGAGACAGACCTTCTGTTATGTCCTTGTCAGCAAGCCAAAGTTGCCTTGGCCTCTCACTTTGTTAGCATTCCTTTGCATGTGTATACCACATTTTCATTATCCATTCTCCAGTTGATGGGCACCTGATTCTACATCATGGTTACTGTGAATAGTACAATGCTACACATGAGTGCACACATCTCTTCAACATACTTTCAACTCATAGATACATGCCCTGTAGTAGGATAGCTGAGGCATATAGCAGTTCTGTTTCTAGGTTTCTCAGGATTGGCCACATTGTTTTCCAAAACAACGACAGTCATTTCCATTCCTACAAAGAGATCCCCTTTCCCTACACCCTTACCAGCATTTATTACTTTTATCTTTTGATCAAACTGTTCTAACTGGAATAAGATGGTGATTTTGATTTGCAGTTCCCTGATGACTAGTGACATTGTACATTTTCCCATATACTTGTAGGTTGCTGTAAATCCTATTTTGAGAATATCGGTACAGGTTATTTGCCCATTTTATGATCAGATAACTTTTTGTTATTTAGATCCTTGAGTTACTTCTTCATTATGGATATTCATAAGTATTCATTCTCAAAAACAAAGTTCTCTAAGGTGCACTTCTGTGTTTTTCAGTCATTTTAGAAGAGTCATCTTGGGGGCTTCCAGCTCTCTCATTCCCTCTGTTCAGTCAGTTGGGTCTGTGACCTAGTCTCCACTCTATCACTCAGGGCCTCTTAGTGGCCCCAGTCTTGAAGAGGTTTTACCTATAGGTTCTGCATTAACATCCCAAGAGGAACTTTCCTAAACCACAAACTTCATTGTATCATTCTCTAGCCCCACAACTTATTGAATCCTTAAAGCACACATAGAGAGATGCCGGCAGCAGAGTGCAGCTTAATGCAGTGCATGTAGAGGGATGCTGGCATCGCAGAGTGCAGCTTAACCCAGTGCACCTCAACACGAGACCCAGGATGAGGGACATTCTGCAAGGACTTTGGAGGGGTCCATTCACTTCTTCCACCTTGTGAGGACACTTCAGAAAGGAGCCATCTTTTTCCTAATGTTTGGATGTTGAACTCAGTCATACTGGTATATTTAAAGGGGTACAATGCTCCCTTTCAACTCTTAGACATATGGTAAATAGCAGGCCTCCAGCCTTCCCTTTCATTATCAATTTTTTGATGAGGGCACCAACATAGAAGCAGAAAGTGAGTCCTTTCAGGTTACTGAGTCTGCTGGTCCTCAATTTTACTCTCCCCAGCCTTGAAAACAGTGTGAAAATTTTCAAATACCCAAGACAAGGTCTTGTTACAATAGCTAAAAAGCACTGAAATCTCTAGGAATGTCTTGCTTTTCTCCCTACAATTTGAAGCATAGCTTTGCGGGCTACAGATTCCTCAGTTTGTGCTTTTTTTTTTTTTTTTTTTTTTTTTTGCCTTCTGCACTGCACCACATCAGCCCTCTGCCTTGTGGTCCTCCAGGGATTCCGATGAGCAATTTGCTCATGAACATAGGGGAAATGATGGAAGATACCTCCCTCTCAGCTCTACAGATATGAACAATGCACCTGAGCTGTCACGGGCAACAGAACATTTTGTGGTAGTGTCATGATGCCAGGAAAGTGGTCCCATCATGTTGAAACCTATCACTCAGATGTTAAATTGAAAGGAAAGGCTATTTGGGGTGTAGACTTTAGGAGGCAATTGGAACATTCTACATGTGCTAATTTTGCAAAAAATAAATATCAATTTCTATCACTAACCTAAGCAAAGATCTTTTGGGGGTACTTTCTCTTTAATCAAATGGACAGATACTTCTGGAAACTGCCATGGAGTATGACCAACTGTGATTGGTCCATTTCTTGCTCTGACGTTGGAAGGTGCATTGTGATGTCATTCCAACTGCCTGTTTGAATCCCTGGCTGGGCAGAGGACTTTGTCCGTTTTTTCCAGGAAGCAGTTGGATGCTGGCCAGCGAGACTTGGACAAAGCTATAAGTTTTTCCATATTTTGTTGTTTTTGCTGTTTTATTGTTCTGTCCATTTTGTCCTCTCCCTTCCCCACAATCTTTTACTTCTTATCTGTGCATTTTTATTTTATTTAAATATCTCCTCATTTCTCTTTTGATTTTTCTTGTCATTTCTTCTCTTTATTTACCATTTTCATTTTCTAATTCTTTAATTCTTGTGTATCTCACCTTCTTTTTCTCATCTGTAATCACTTTCTTTACATAGGAGGTTTAGTATTGTAAGTTTAGCTATAAGAGTTGGTGTTTTCTTTCTGTTACAGTTCTCTATGTTTCTGTTTTGTCACTTTTGATTATTTTGTTTGAATCACTGATTAGTATAATGTAATTCATTATAGTGTTTGTTCAAAATATCAGCATAGTGAATAGAATTAATCTTAATAATTAGTGTACTTCATATACTGTTGTTTTTGTTATGCCCAGATAAGTAGATCCCCCAATAAACTATCAACAACCTCATCACACTGAAATCCAAAAGCAAGATTTCTATTAAAAAGGTACAAGCCGCGACAGGGACCTCATCCAACCAACCGGCGCAGCAGAGGAAGGAGGAAAGGCCCAGGTCTTTGTTTGGGGACGCTTTTAAAGGGGAGATACATCATCAAGGGCTTAAGGTGTGGGTCCTTTTGTGATTGGGCAGGGTGGGGGGTGTGTGTCTCTGGCTTGGGTTCAGGAAGTTACCTCAGTTGGTAATCTCTACTGAGCTGGCCTTGGTCTGCTGAGCTAGCTGTCCTTGGTAAACCTGGATATCTCCAGAATGCCTGAATGCCTGCTTTTACAAGGACTCGGGTCTGCTATGGGAAACGGAGGCTGCTTTTGATTGTTTCAAAATAGAGTCACTTTGGCTCTTCAGTTCTGTCTGTTCTTTTTAGTGCTGTTTATTTTGTTCTTTTTTGTTTTGTTTTGTTTTGTTTTCCCTCTTATCTTCCCCACAAATTTTTGCTTTTCATCTGTGTGTATTTTATTTAAAAATCTCATTTCTTTTTTGATTTCTCTTGTTGTGCTCATAATATCACATAGTGAATTAGAATTGGTCTTATTGATTAGTACAGTGAAGTTCATATGCAGTTTTTTTGTCTATTTGTTCTTTAAGAGCTTTATTTTTTTATTTTTATTTTTAGTTTTCTTCCCCTAACTCAATTTTTTTATCTCTGTGTATTTAATTTAAATATCTTTTCTTTTTCTCTTTTTCATGTTATAATAGTAAGATGAGTACATTGAATAGAATTAGTCTGTAGTATAGTAAATGTAGTGTTACCTGTTAGTAGTATTAACATATTGACTTATTCATTTGTTTCTTTCTCATTGGGTTGCCAGGTCACCGTAGGTGCTGTAGGAGACTAGCTAGTGTTACTCCCAGTACACTAGATACCAAGATATCCCCACAATGAGTGGTGACAGATCCTCCCACACAGAGGAGGAGGTGTTCCGGGGATATGAAGTCCTCAGAACCCTTGGCAAGGGCAGCTTCGGCAAGGTGAAGCTGGCCCGCCATGTGGAGAGTGGGACCACGTTGGCTGTGAAGATCATTGCCAGAGGGCACGGGGATTCCTCCGAGTTCCCACAAGCAAGGGTAGAAGCAGAGATTATGAGTTCTCTGCATCACCCTCACATTGTACAGCTAATGCAGGTAGACTACACGGCAGAGAGAGCCTACCTGTTCATGGAATATATTAGCGTGGGGGACCTTGGAAAGTTAGTGGCAGTGTGCGGCCACCTTGAGGAAGGAGAAGCGTGCTACTATTTCAGTCAGACCCTGGAAGCAGTGGAGTACTGCCATAAGCAGCACGTTGTCCACAGAGATATAAAATTAGAAAATCTCCTTGTGGACAGAAACATGTGTATTAAACTAATTGACTTTGGCTTAAGCCAAAAATTGGCTGAAGGCCAACAACTCAATTCATTGTGTGGCAGCCTCGAATACTGTGCCCCGGAAGAATTCTTAGGGAAGGAATTCGATGGCTACAAGGCCGACGTGTGGAGCCTGGGCGTGCTCCTATACACCATGGTGAAAGGGTGGCTGCCCTTTGAAGGGGACAGCTTTGCATACTTGAAGGCAGCTATCCTGGCTGGCTCTTACCTAATCCCCTCCTCTATAAGCGGGGAACTGGAGCAGCTGCTGGACTGGCTGATGACCTATGACCCTGCTGAGAGGCCCACAGTGGCAGATGCTATGGGCCACAAGTGGCTCAGCATGGAGCAGAAAGGGCCCAAACTGAGTGAAGACACAGCCAAACAGACTCAGAGTTCAACCGAGGACGAGGACCTCAGTGAAAGTGTGGAGAGCCTGAGCTCTCAGGAGGGCCTCCGAGAACAGGACGGCCCCCTGTGGGGAAAAGCCCAGCTACAGGCTCACCTCAGAGGAGGAGGAAGCGAAATTTACATGGGGCTCCCAGGTCCTTCGCATGTTACTGAAGGTCCGAAATACCTCTCAGGCCTCCTCTTCCAGCTGGGCCGTGAGGAGGAGGATGGCTGCTTGTCCCCTGCTCTGAGCTGGGGGAAATCCCAGGAGGGCTTCAGTGGAGCAGCAAGACCTGAGCTCACTGAAGTGGAGCTTCTAGCATTTCCCCCGGATGCTGAGGCCCAAAGCTACCTGGTGGAGCTGGGCTTTCAGCTGAGTCGTAAAGCAGCCTCCCTGACACCCGGTCTCCAAGCCAGCGCCACGTCCCCAGTGCTGCCCGAAGGTGACCTGTCATCAGGGCTAAATGCCTGCCATGGAGCCCGCAGGATGGACGGTTCCCCACCTGGCATGATGATGATCCACACTCCTCACCCAGTCCTCAGGTACAACAGCTCCGTGTCCTCTGCGTCCACTCTCAACACCAGCAGCAGTGAGGCCGGCAGGTCAGATGGTCCCCACCCTGTCATAAGGAGGAGGACCTACATTCTTGGGCCAGTTCTCAGCCACAACAGCTCCTTGTCCTCCATAGCCACTATCAGCATCACCAGCAGTGAGGCTGAGAGGACAGATGGCCCCCAACCTGGGATAAGGAGGGAGACCTACATTCCCTGGCCAGGCCTCAGGTACAACAGCCCCGTGTTCTCCATATCCACTCTCAGCTCCAGCAGCAGTGAGGACCACTTAGCAGACAGGAGCTGTTCCCAGGGAGTGACAGAGAATGAGAGCCTCCCAGAAAACCAACAGGACGAGGAGGCAGGGACCTCACCTGCTAAAGCTGCCAAGAGCAAGGGCCGCCGGGGGGTCTGCAGGAGGATGGTGAACTGCCTTCTGCGGGTGTGTTGTATCCTGCCAGACCCAGAGGAAGACCTCTGAATTCAGAGGAGAAACGTGGCCTCATAGCTTCATTCACTGGAAATGCTCAAGAGGAAATTATGATCCCTGCCTGGGAGGAGGGATTGTGGGGAGGCAGTAATAAATAAGAGGCAGGGAGTGAAGGCAATGGGTCTCATAGGAGGAACTAGGATCAGGCGTCAGACCAGACCACACCACCAGGTCCTGTGTCTCATGTGCAAGCAGCTGATCAGGTGAGCATAACCTCACTTCAGTGTCAGGTCAGTGACATTTCTCGGTTGTCACATGGTTCAAGTAGTCAGCAGAATAACATTTTTATTGGTTGGCATCCATGACCATTTGCTAGGCACCAGAAAAACAGACACCTGACATTGAAACGCTGTAGTGAATGTATCCATTTATAAGGACTTACTATAGAAGCTCCTTTAGAAGAGGCATAACATACTGGGGCACAGTGCCAGCCTCAGGGGCTTTCTCTATCTGGATTCTGAGGACAGAGCCACACTGTGTGCATTCAGCAGAACTCACAGAACTGTATGCATAAACATCTCCTTGATTCTATAAAAAGTAGAAAAAAGGAACAAAGAGACCAGGCCCTGGGACTTCCAAGAGCTGTACAAACCTTGCCTTCCTGTCTATGAGGTGTGTGGTACTGTGCAAGTACCTCATATTCTGAGCCCTGGTTACCACTAAAAAGTTGGGGAGGAGGCTCTGAAAAGTCCTTGTGACACAGTGAGGTCTGGAGTTTCTGGGATGACAAATCCAGCCATGTGCTTGCTCAGGGAAACCCAGGTACGTGTGGCAGATAAGCCTTCCTTCTAGCATGAATGTACTGGACTCTCAGGTTATACTCAAATAGTCTCCCATGCTGTTTTGGGATGTGTGCAGGGGCCACTGGCTGCTTGGGGGATGACTGGCAGCTGCTGGCCCCAGTGGCCCACTTCGGTATGTGATGTCTGGGGTCACTATCAAGTCCAGCCTAGTATTGGCAGCTATAGTCAAATTGAGTAACTTTGGTCTGCATTGATAGATATTGGAGTGGGGGATTCTTTTACCTTTTAAATTATGCTAATAATACAAAACACAAATGTTACTATTTTAACCCTTTTTAAGTATACAGTAGTGGCATGAAGAGCATTCACAGGGTTGTGTGCACATCACCACCACTCCTCTCCTCCACATGAAACACTCCCCACCCCCATCCCCAGCCCGGCACCCCCAGGTGTACTCCTGTCTTAATGAATGGGACAACTCTGTCTCAAGTATTATGCAGTATTTGCTCTTTGAGAGGCAGAGAGACAGGCAGAGCTCCTGTCAGCTGGTTCACTCCTTGCAGGCCTGTAATGGCAAGTACTGGACTGGGCTGAAGCCAGGAGCTGGGAACTCAATTCAGGCCTCTCATGTGCATGAAATGAACCCAATCACATGAGCCATCAGCTGCTTCCTCCCTGTCTGCAACAGCAGAAAGTTGGAGTCAGGAGCCAGAGCTGAGAGTGAAACCCAGTAACTCTGACAGGGTACGCAGGCATCTTAACTGCCTGCCCTTGGTGTTTGTCTTTCTGTGGCTGGCTTGTATTATCCAGTCCTCAAGATTCATGCCTGCAGTAGCAAGTGTCAGAATATCCTGCCTTTGAAAGGCTGAATAATACTCCGTGGTTCAGTTGGACCACATTGTTTTCCCACACTCACTTTCTTTTGATGGTCTCATGGGTTGTTTGCATATTGGGGTAATGTGGATAATGCTACTGTGAACATAGGTACAAATTACTCCTTGAGCCCCTGTCTTCAATTCTTCTATTATGTATGTACTTATGTATTTGAAAGACACAGTGACTGAAAGAGAGCTCTGCCTCACTCCCCAGATGGCCACAACAGTGAAGGCAGGCCAGGATAAAGCCAGGAGCCCTGCACTCCATCTAGGTCTCCCACACAGTTGACAGAGGCCCAAGAACTGGAGCCATAATCTGTTGCCTTCCCATGAGTATTAGCAGGAAGCTGAATTGAAAGCAAATTAACCAAGACTGGAACCAGACACTCCAGTATGGGATGTGGACCTCCCAAGTGGCAGTTTCATTGGCTGCACCACAACACCCACCCCTGTTTCCAATTCTTGGAGTCATATACCTAGATATATATACACCTAGATGTATATATACCTAGATGGGCTACTTGACAATTCAATGTTTAAAAATTTGGGTGGCAGTTCTATTTTGTGGTGTAGCAGGTTAAGCCACCACTTGGAGCACCCACACTCCATATTGGAGTCAGTTCATGTTCCAGCTGCTCTACTTCCAATCCAGCTCCCCGCTAATGCTTCTGGGAAAGAAATGAAGGTTGGCTCAAGTACTTGGGCCTCTGCCACCTACATGGGAAACCCAGAAGAAGTTCCTGCCTCTGGCCTGGCCCAGCTTGTCTGTTCTGGTCATTTGGGAGGTGAAGCAGTAGATGGAGGAGTCTCTCTCTGTCTCTCTCCTCCCACTCCCTGCCACAGACTTTGCCTTTCAAATCAATAAATTTTTTTGGTTATAAGGAAATAGCTTTATATTTATTTTTAATTTTAAAAGATAGTTATTAATTTGAAAGGCAAATTTACAGAGGCAGAAGCAGAGAGTGAAAGACAGAGAGCGTGAGAGAGAGAGGGAGGTATCTCCATCTTCTGCTTCACTCCCCAAATGCTCACAACAGCCATGGCTGGGCCAGGCTGAAGCCCAGAACTTGGAGCTCCACCCTGGTCTCCTACGGGAGTGGAAAGAACTCAAGTATTTGAGCCATCACCTGCTGCCTGCCAAGGTGCACATGAGCAGAAAGATGGAATGGGGACCTTAACTTAGTCTAGAGTCCAGGAAAAGCAAGCTCTTCAGCTGGAGACCAGGACAGAAGTAGGTGCTGCCTCTCCTATTCCCCTCCCCCAGCTGTTTATGCTGCTGGCCACTCCCCACCTATGCCCATGCATGTGTGTTCTTTCACCTTTTTAATAAACTTCATCATTCTGGACAGTGTATATATGCCTGTACTTGGAATGTCTCCCTAAGCAGAAGGCACAGACCTGGAATACACATTCAGCCACCCCACTTACTTCACTTCTTATGGGTGAGCCAGCCAGGTGTCTGAGAAAGCCCAACAGTGAACCAAAAAAGCAACAGTGGTAAGTGGAATTCAATTTGTTTCTGTCTCAGATGTGCTAAGCTTTTACCTCCTTGTGAAAATTCAAAAGTGTCTCCTCCAGTCTCCCTGCTCTTGATCTCAGGCAGATCTGTTAAGATGCAGTTGTGGGGACCTTGTTCCTAAGTTTCAGCTATAGGGGAGGAAAGGCGACAATGAGATGTCTTTGTAAGGAAGATCTGGACAGAGGAATGGGAAGAGAGTTGGACAGTTTGTGGCCTTGTGCCCAAAATCTTTGTTTCTAGTTTGTAGTGTGTTTTTTAAATTCATTCTTGCTGCTGAAAAACCTGGAACTTGGAATTTAGTTTCTACTGGATGCAATACACCTGGCTAAAAAGTTCTGTCTTGAGATTTTGAATCGTGGTGTTTTCCTTATTAAGATGGGCAGGTGGGCCAAGCACTCGCCTTTTGCTAGCAAACTTCTCTTCATCTGACTGGAGTGGTCCTAAAAACAGGTGTGCAGTGTATATGTGCCACACCCCCTGTCAGCAGGTGGTACTTCCTAACATGGCAGGAGTTCCTCAACAGGAGCCCAGGGAGGGACTTTGCCCAACCATGGAAGCCTCAAGTGTGACTTCAGCTTTTCAGTGGATGAAGGAAATGGACCCCACCTGACCATGGTGGACCCCAAAGCTAGTGCAAGCCATGTACCTAGTCAGCAGCACTACCATTTATCTTAGCGTTATGCTGGTTTCTGCTGCCCTGGAATACACACCCAGGTATGGGTTCCAATGCTACCTGAGGTCACAAGCTCTAGATATGCTGGTCCTAGCCCCAGAGAATGTTCAGGACACAGAAGCTTCAGGGCTTACAACCTCTAGCAGCTGGTCTTCAGGCATAGGCATAGGCTGTGTTATTTTTACAACCCAGGAGCTTTTCCTCCTGGTGTGAGGAGCAGTGCCCCACTAGAGATCATTTCTTGCAGAGATGACATCCCATAAGCTCATGTTGGATGCTGGGAAAATGCCCCAATTATACGTGCATTTGCTGCTGAGTTGTTGGCACCTTTGCAAAAGCAGCAGCACTCTTCAACTGGCCAGATTATGTAAGGCATGTTCATTAAGATATTTTAATAGGGGCATTGGGTAATGAAGATGCCCTTACATATAGATCAACCCACAGGGAGCCCTGGAGGCAGGTTGCTTAAAGCCGAGGACCTCAAATTGGGGTATAAAACCTTTGTAATGTATCCAATACAATTAATACAAGGGAGCTGAATCACATGTATAAGCATAACAGGGTTTGTGGAGAGCCATATCACTTTTGTCTTGTCAGGTTCTACCGAAACTTCAGCTGTATATGACTCCTCATTCATCCCTGTGGACTGACTCCTAAGGGTACAGTTTAAAAAACTCCAGAAAATCGAGATACCGAGTGGTTTACTGACAGCAGTAGTTGCACAAAGTATGGAGTTTAAAAGGCAGGTTATGCCATGGTGGGTCTTACTCAGGTGATAGAATCTCAAACATTGCCAACTAGCACTTGATCGCAAAGGCCAAACTTACTGCTTTAACTAGAACCTTGCAATGGGGAAGAGCTAATGAGTTATTATGTCCAGACTCCAGTTTGTTTTCCTTGAGTTCCATGCACATGGAGCAATTTGGAAAGGAAGAGCCCTCCCGACTTCAAAGAGCTCTCCCATTAAATAAGGAGAAGAGATGTTAGCTCTCCTTGAGGAGCACTGGAGTCTTTAGAAAGTGGTTGTCAGTCACTGCAGGGGACACAAGAAGACAGATAGCCATGCTATTCAGGGAAATGTGCTAGCAGATAAGGCAGCAAAAGTCACTGCTGCAGGGCAGGTTCTAGAAATAGCTTTGCTACCTGAGCTTTTTGGTCACTAAGTATCCTCACTACACAAACCCTGTCATAGAATGTTCTCAACCAGGCTACATGAAGGATGCCAGTGGAGGAAGGCGTTCAGTCATAAGGCCATGTGCTGAATGGGGGGTTATCAATATATGACTCTCACTATTTGGAAGAGAAGGTTTAATGCCAGGAGTTCCTTGGGTATTTGGAGGGTAAAGGCTGCATACTGTCATAAAGAAAGTACCTCAGCATGTGGTGACTGCTTTAGGATTTTCTTATCTCCATACCCCTTGGAGACCTTAGTCATCAAAGTCAAAAAGCTAATCATATTCTTAAGAAAGTCCTGGTGAAGCTTTGCCAAGAGACCTCAGAAAGATGGCTTAAATTCTTACCTATTGCCCTCAGGATCAAAGTGGCACCTAAGGCTGCTTTAAAACTGCCTGTCTAAAATGCTATATAAAAAGGTCTTCTTCATCTCTGATACCCTCTTTCACTCAGGGATACAGATCAGGTAAGAGTTTATTATTAATCTTTTTCCTATACAAGAGGCTAATGGACTGTGGTAATAAAATTCTCACAGTGCCAGGTCCCAAAATCATGAACAGCCTGTCCCCAGGAGACCAAGTCTTAAGAGACACTTGGAGCAAAGACTCTTCCTCTGATCAATTGCAGCCTAGATGAAAGGGATCCTACCAGGTGCTACTCAGCACTCCTACTGAAGTCAAATTCAGGGCATCCCAAGCTGGGTACATTTGTCAAGGATCTCAGTTCTACCTCTTTAGTCTTCACAGGGGCACACAGAGAACAAGTCTGCTCACTCTTGTGAATGCATCCAAGATCTCGAATACATCTTCAAGGGGCAAAAGGGTGAGTAAAACCTTTGCTTTTATCATATTGAACCTGCTACACTTAGTGGCACACATGGTTTGCCTATCTTTTATTCTCTCAGGAGGCTGCTGTTGTGAGGAAAACTCCATAGTTCTTGTAGTATGATAGTAGGAGATCCTGCTAGGCCATAGAAAACCATTTAAAAATCTGTTTATTGTGTGGGCCAAACTAGAGCCTACACTTCAGGCCAGATTTTACAGCAATTGCTTGAGTCCGTGGGTGTTCTAAGTTAGTCATGGACAACTAGCTGGCCATAAAATGCATACTGGCAAAACCAGGAGTGTGTGCAGTGATTAATGGAATCTGCAGCATCTACTCTAACAGTTGTATATTCACTGAAAAGGATGCTACCAGTCTTTATGGCTATGCTAGATGGTTTTATAATCTGGGCAAAGACAACCTATAAGTGCCCATGTTTTGGGAAACAGTGGAATATACTCCTCCTATCCTGAAGGGGATTCAACTTGCAATTTATCTTTTTTCCAATTATGCTCATCCTGATTGACTAACTTTTCTGTTTCAGAATTTGACAGCTTCTCAAAATGATGATGACCATGCAAGGGCAACAGCGATTGGCCGTGACAATGAAAATTCCCCAGCTCATGAGATGGATCAATTAGATGAGCTAAGAAGAGGTTTCCAAACCCTGGATAGGTAGGGATAACGCCCCTGGCCAGCAGAAGACGGATCATCATCCTTCAGCACCCCCTTAAGATTAAGGGTCGGAAATCTCTGCGGGGGGATGAGATGGGATAAGGCAGGTAGCTAGCTTAGGGCCACAGAGCTGGAAGTCCCAAGTCACAGGTGCTCGCCCCCATGTAATTCTATCCTACTTGTCCAATAAACTGCCCCTTACTGGGGCGTGTTTCCTTCTGGGTGGGGCACGTGCCATGTGAAGTTCCACCACACTTCTACCTCAAAAGCAGCCCACACTGGAAGAAGTGTGTCCTCCTCTTGGGAGACGGATGCTGAGGTGCTGTCTCTCCACTTCTCCTCTTACCTCCATTTTCCCCGGCCCACTCCCCACCCATGCTCACGTTTCCTTTATCATCCCTTAAATAAATGTTATCATTTTGTGTACTGTACATGTTTCTGTGCTTCAAATGCTTCTCTAGGTAGAAGGCAAAGACCTGGAATAAAATTAGACCCCACTTCAGGGTTAAGGTTCTGTTTGCAACAGAAGGATCCCATATCAGAGGGCCAGTTCAAGTCCTGGCTACTCCACTTTCTATGCAGTTCCCTATTTAAGCACACCCTGGGAAGGTAGCAGGTGATGGCCAAAGAGCTTGGCCCTCTACCACGTGGGAAAGACAGATGGAATTCTGGGATCTTAGCTTCATCTTGGCCAAGCTTCAGCCATTGTGTCCATGTGGGGAGTGAACCAGTGAATGGAAAATGTGTTTGTGTGTGTGTGTGTGAGAGAGAGAGAGAGAAACTCTGCCTTTCATATAAATAACAAATATTTTTAAAAAACAAGTTGTACCAGGAGGTGGGGATCAACAGTGGCTATCTCAGAGCCTGCCTACACAATTCAGGCCATGAATGAACCTAGAATGTTCTGTGTGGTACCTGAAACATGTAAACCATACAAGCAGACACAAACTCTATGAACAAGGTGCCTCCAATAGGTTTTCTACTTAATTTAATGGGAATATGGAGGCTCAGTGGTGAAGTGAATTGACATCGGTAAGATACTGCTACCAGTGGAGCAACATTGAGAACCTGGGCCAATCTCACTCTAAACACAGGCTTTTTCCTTTGCACTTCCCTTCTCTGATTCTCATTAGAGTGGTGTAAGATACACACTTGGGGGTGGGCATTTGGCTTAGAGGTTAAGTCACTGCTTGGGACATGCACATCCCATATCAGATTCCTTGGTTTAAATCCTGGCTCTGCCTCCAATCCTAGGTTCCTGCTAGTGCACAACCCACAAAGGAGCAGATGATGGCTCAACAACGTGGGAGACCCAGATGGAGTTCCAGGCTCCGTGGTGTTGCCTGCCATGGCCTGGCTCTTACAGGCATTGGAGATTGAGCCAGCAGTTGGAAGATATCTATGTCTCTCTTTCTTATAATAATAATGATAATCATAATAAAAAGCCTAAACCCTGACACTGAGCAGGTGTTGGCAAAAGTTCATTCCTAGAAATTCAGCATTTACCGCAGATACAGGCAATGACACCTAGGATTACATCGTCATCTCTTCTAAAATGAGCATGGAGGAATCTGGGAAACATCCCAGCTCAGTTAGTGGAGGAAATGAGCACCCAGTTGATCCCAGAAAAACCAGCTGGGTGGTTAAAGTGAAGGCAAAGCCAGGATGTTGGAGCTGCCTCCTCCACTTC